TGCGCAGGAGTTCCCACACGACAGACGCATGCCCCTTCCCAAAGAAAAAAACAGTTTGACCAGCTTTGCAAAAGTTTACGAGTAGACCAAGTAGACGGGACGGGTTCCGCTCCATCTCCCCGTAAGCAGGTCCTTGAGAACTTGTCACGCCGTCGTCCTCCCACATGCTACGAGAGAACCTTTCCTCTTCCGCCACGTCGAAACACGCCACAGCCTGTCCTGATGGGTCCGACGAACAGACAGCTTTCGAGCGGTCCGCCACCGTGTGTTTGGCCGGACTTGGACCATGAGCACGGGAAGCCTTTGTTGGGCTACTGGCCGGGTAGATTGCGAATGTGTTGTCTTCCAGCTTCTCGCCATTAAAAATCACGTACAGGCGGTCACACTCCTCAACCAGCATATTGCCTTCCCGGACAGTGGCCTGCTTTTGTGCATTACGTACCCACTTCCCTGTCCTGACGTGATGGACACTAAGCCTGGCCATGCCTTTCAAGAAACTGAGCTCCCAACGAGAGGGGAAAAAGATCACAAGTGCCCAGTGCGTTGGCGAAAGTTGGCGAAATCGTCTTCTCGCCAGTCTGTGAGGAGTGTGGGATCACACAAATCGAGGACGTACAGGTTGCACACGTAATGTCGCACAAGCTCACGGATCGCAGTGACATGACTGTGAGCTTGGGAAGGTGGGAGAGCGAAAGGAATAAGGCTGGTCACCCGGTTGAGGTCGGGCCATTTGATGTGCCTCACATCCCCGCTGACCCTGATCGTGTCTCGAACTTCTTCTTCCGTCCGTCGCAAGATGGAACGGACAGACTTTTCGAAAGATTTAGGGAACCTGTCATCATCGTACAATCTCTTCGCGTCGTCGATGGACTCCTTCTCGTGCGGAAGACTACGTTTGCAAGTCTTCACGTACTCCACCGCGCCCTGGAAATGTTTTCGCATTTCGACCCACACCTGTTTCGTGAGGCCCTGCGGCCCGAACTCCTCCAGAAGCTTCCCCTCGATCCGAAAAAATTGGCTCCCGTGGCGCCAAACAGGTTCGTTCTCCTCCGTTTCAAGGAACAAGATGTAGTGGAACATACGGAGCATCACACGGTCTACTTTCCTTGTCTCGACCATGTATTTAATTCCAGGTTTATGCTGACGCTTCAGATGGCCGCATGCGGATTGGAACCGTGCGAATAGAAAGGCAAATACGTGTACACATAAATGGACGGTTTCCTGCCGTGAGCTACGACCGCGGTCAGGTTCGTTTTCATCATCATGGCGTGTCGATGATCCTTGGAGTAATTATACATGCCGATGAGAGGAATGGTTGTCTTTTTCTGATCCATTCCATCCACTATAAGGCAGAGGTATTCCGCGGGGTTCAAAATGGAACGAAGTTTTCAGTCAGCGTAATCCGCACGGTGAGCGACCTGATCTAGTTGGTGTTTGCGATGCTTTTCATCGAAATCCCTACGGTGACGAAGGAGGGAGGCGTTGTCTCTGGCCTGTCTAAGGCGGACGCACTCGCCACACTTTGTGAACGAGTTGGACTTGGCAAGGTCGGCATGCCACAAGTACTTCCCCCATATGGAGTAGAAGACTTGCTCCGAAACGACGGTCTGACCCGCCGCTTCCAAGTCCGCCTTGATAGACTCGTATACAAGGAGCTTCGTGAAATAAGCAGGGGGCCTAACTTTGGGTCGTTGTGAGGTCCCCCTCACAACCATTTCGTTAGGCATAGCATCTCCATGTTCTTCCACGAACCTTGTTACACGAGCCAGCATGCTCACATACTCCGGTCTCGGGTTCAACAATCCCCATCGACCATGACGGCCATGGACGACCCCGTCCGACTTGCACTTGCTATAACGACGAAATGTGTTTCGACATATCCCTATTATTTTGCACCAACCGGCGATGCACACACGGCGTTTGCACTGCACTGGTTGGACTCTTTCCAGACCGCCGTCGAGGATAGTGAAATTGTCGAGGGTTTGTATCCACCACTCGATTCTCCTTTCAAGGGACATTTTGTATAGGCTTCGCGCACCGGTTTGATATCATCAATGGTCAAGACCCGAAGACACTTGTTCTTACAACATTTGTATGTCGGGACGAGCGTAATGTTAGTTTCATTCAATCGACTTTTGGCCCTCTTCGAATGCTCTCGGCCTATTTTTCCGATTATATCTTCTCCTTTCTCCAGGTAGGGGATGGGACAAAACTTGAAGGACTGCTTCGGGAGTTCCAGGTTGGCTTTTGGTCGGGGACCTATGCCGCTATGCGCTGCACCTAGGAATTCCGATCCGTCCGTGGGAGCGGTTCTCGACAAATCAGATTCGGATGATTCCGATGAACTGTACAAATCTGTGTTTACAAAACCAGTCTGCCAATTTTCCATTGCACCCGTCGCTGTCATCGACGGAGGGCCAACTATTTGGGCTTCACATGCAATTCTCTTACCTATCTTCGCACTTCCACACGCAAGTACCGTTGCCTGGTCCCTATCATACCTGTTTCTACCAAATGCACCGCACTGTTCCCGATCAGATTCGTTTCTATCGGGCGTACCGCAGAAGTCTGTGTCCACCAATGACCGACTGTAGTCACATGCTAGGGGTTGGGTAACTTCAATGCTTTCAGAAAGTCTCCCCACTGTCCGCACGAGATCTGATCCAATCGTTTCGGACACACCACTGAAATCTGTGTCCACGAACATTCACCCACCGGGAAACGTCTCGACATCCCGAACACCCTCACTAACGGGGATTAGCGTTGTAGATACGCGCTGACCGTCGGGAACGTCGGTAAAGCGAACAAAACGACGCCGGGCGGACGTCGTAGACGAGCCTGAATGATTCGTCGGGGTCAACATCGAGAACTCCCTTTTCAAACCGCAATGCCGATCAGAGGGAGCTTCCGGGCTGCTGTCACAAGAACTACGTTCTCGAACATCGTCTTCTCCGTGTTGTTGTGATGGTGGCGGTGGCGTAACACAGTGGACGGATTGGACAGCCATTTGAAGAGTCGATTCACACGGAAACTGTACAACAAAAAAATCACATCAACGTATGACGAGGTCAGGGAAATAAACAAGAGGGAGCAAACTCACATTTCAAACATTTATCACAAAACAGTGGAACAACAACATTTGAATCCATATCGTTTTGTCGGACCCTGATGTGAGGCTCAAGTGGTATCTCAAGTCCAACTCCTCACCCACTCGTTCAATGTGCAAGTGGTTTGGATATGTCCGAGTAAACTCGCACTTTTTCAGGCGAGAGTACAAATGCGAGCTGATTCGGACTTATTCAACGTACAGTAAGAAATTAAGTTCATGGTCGGAACAAGAGCGAACACAAGTGCGAGTCGATTCGGTATTATCCACTAAACAGTGAGAAATTTCAAGTGCAAAAGAACTCGCACTTCAGAGGAACATTTCGATTACGCCGTGCAATAAGAAATTGCCTTCGTGGTTGGTTCAGTGGCGAGTTAACTCGCAAATATAAAAGAACTTCATTCTTTTCGGCCGAGAAGAGACGCGAATTATCGACTAAAGAGGAACAAATTTAGGGGGATGGATGGTTGAAGAGCGAATAAATTCGCACTTGCAAACGAGCATTTCCATTATGAAACTGGGGCTTATGGACTAAAGAGTCACAAATTTGGGGGGATGGTTGGTTGAAGAGCGAAAAAATTCGCACTTGCAGACGGACATTTCCACTATGAAACTGGGACTTTTGGATTATAGAGTAAGAAATTTAGGGGGATGGTTGATTGAAGAGCGAATAAATTCGCACTTGCAAACGGGCATTTTCATTACGAAACTGGGGGTACAAGTGCGAGTTCATTCTGACCTATGGACTAAACAGTGACAAATTAAGGGGTTCGTTGGTTCAAAAGTGAATGAATTCGCACTTGTAAACGACCATTTTTATTACGAAACTGCGGGTACAAGTGCAAGTTGTTTCCGGCTTGTTCTGCGTGTAGTACGAGCCACAGATCGTCGCAAGAAAGAAATAGGGAAAGATGGCGTGCTATTTTTTTAGATGGAGAAAGATTGCGRAGCGATGGGCAGACGGCGCATCGATGAAAATACATGGAGAGAGATGGCGCACCGAATGAGAGAGATGGCGCACCAAGAGAGATGGATGGAGTCACAGTCTTCCCCCGAATACAACGTCTAGTCATTACAACTGAATTCAGGTCATCTTTCAGTCTAAAGACAACTATAATGAAAGTGCGTTGTATATTCCGGGGAAGAAGGTGGATGGCGCAGGAAGGGAAAAAGATTGCGAACTAATTGGGAGGTGTGCCACAGCGAGAGAGAGAGATTGCGCACCGATGGAGAAACATGGCGCGACAATGGAGATAGCAGGCGCAACGATGGTTAGCGATAGCACAACAATGGAGAAAGATGGCGCACCGAAGCAGATAGATGACGATGGAGATAGATTAGGAAAGATAGCGCAGCGATGAAGATAGATGACGAAGGAGATAGATTAGGAAAGATAGCGTACCCAAGGAGATGGATGACGAAGGAGATAGATTAGGAAAGATACCGCAGCGATGGGGATAGATGACGAAAGGTCGGTAAAGATCGCGCATCGGTGGAGAGAGATGGAGAGAGGACGCGCAAAAAATGGTTAGCGATGCCGCAGCGATGGAGAGACAAGGCACAACGATGACCAAGATTTATTATTGCACAACATCAGTTCCATCGAGTTAAACCTTCGTTTAGCATACCTGTCACTTGTTTCGTGCGATTTCACAGTGATGGGCGACTGCACCGATGACGGCCTGAAACAATAATACAATAGCGATGGAGGGATCGCGCACGAGTAATGGAGAGCCTCTGGGGCAAGGATGAAGGTTGCCCGGTTGTCGAGAGAGATCGCGCAGTGATGAAGTGAGATGGAGAGTGATCACTCAGCGATGGAGGGAGATCGTGCGGCGATGGAGAGAGAAATCGCGCAGCGCTGCGGTGGGATAACACTGGCCAGGGCTTCCATACCGATAGCCAGCACTGCGGTGGAGAGCGATGGCGCACCGGTGGAGAGCGATGGCGTGGCGATGGAATGCGTTACAATGCAGCGATAGCGATAGCGATAGCGATGAAACAGCGATAGCGATTGCGCAACGATGGCACACTGGTGGAGAGCGATGGCGCAGCGATGGAACAGCGATAGCGATGGCGCAGCGATGGAACAACGATAGCGAAGGCAGCGATAGCGATGACAGCGATAGCGATGGCGCACCGATTGAGAGATGGCGCAGCGATGGAACCAACGTTGCGATGGCAACTATGGTACCAGCGTTGCGATGGCGCAAGGATGGCCAGCGCTGCGATGGTCAGGCGAGCGCGACGGCTGCGATGGGGGATATAGCTTTGCGTCGCGATGGCGATGAGCTAAGCGCATCAATGGCGATGGTGCATGGCGAGCGTTGGCGATGGTGATGAGCTAAGCGCATCGATAACGATGGTGCATGGCTAAACGCATTGATATCGAACGTCGTTGACATTTGCAAAATATCCGAATGACAGCGACACCGAAACTTATAGATTTCCAGTGTTTTTGACCTCGGCGCACAACGAATCGCCGCGCCTCGGCGGGAAATAAACCGTCGCCTGGCCTCGGCGCGCAACGAACCGCCTTGGCGCACAACGAATCGCCGCACCTTATAGATTCTTGCGCTTGACCTCGTGCGTCGGATCATGCCGATCGACGGTCCAGATTACAACTGCGAAAATGACATTGCCTGCCCCTTGTTTTTGGGAACTGTCACATCATTGCACACCGGAGTAGACAGAGATTTTGGAGCCACTGGCATAACAATGGCTCCGTTCATCTGCGCGGTTGAAAATTGTTGATCGACGGCTGACAATTTTCGGTACCCCTTACCGTTTATAGGCCCTGGCGTTTTATGGGCCCAGGGGTGTGATACGCGAATCGATTCGGCCACCTTGATGGCGTTTTATGGGCCCAAGGGTGCGATATGTGAATCGATTCATCCCCATCTTGATCCCGAAGCGAGGCCTGCTACAACAAAGTATAAAAGGCGTTGCAGCCCTCGAGTTATCCCTTTTGTTGGCGCTCCACATATCAAGTCGCGCTATCGCTTCCGCGCGCGTTCTGATATTTGGTCTCCAGCCCCCCCCACATTCCGCCATAGCCCGCTCACTCTTCGCTCTTCGCTCCGTCCACAGTGGCCACATAGTGTTCGGTTCGCTCTTCGCTCCTCGGTCTTCGCTCTTCCTAGCTCGATATCCCTCCACCATAGCTGGTTCGGTGGTTGGTTGCTCGCTCAACGCACGACGAAGGTAAAATCATATAACTTGAGTTGTCCTATTCTGTGTCCGACGTCCGAACACATTCCCAAATGCCCTGTCTGTACCTGCAGGATATAACGCCGCAGCCGCGTTCCGTTGAACCCCGAATCAATTCCCGGTTTTGTTGTTTCGCCAGTGGACGTGCTCTGATCTCTTTTCTCCACCCTACACCTCCGTCCGCCATAGCCGATCCGCGTTCGCAGCTCGATTACCTTTCGCCATAGCCACGATAACATTCGTATAAAGCTGCTCGATCCCCTTCGCAACTTGCAGTCATCGCTGCACATGGCGAACCCTGAATCAATACCTAGTTTCTACACTGAACACTGAATCAATTCCCGATTTTCGCTCACCTGTCCCTTGTGAGGTCGCCAACCTGATATCTACATATATATATATATATAAAGATATAGATACATATATGTATATATAGAGATATATTGCTACACTGAACACCGAATCAATTTCCGATTTTCGCTCACCTGTCCCTTGTGAGGTCGCCGACCTGATATGTATATATATATATATAGATTCATATATATATATAGAGAGAGAGATGTATTGCAAGTCAGTTCGCAGTTTGCGACGTACAGTGTTCRAGGAGTGACAACTGCGAGGTTATTCGCAGTTTTTCCAAGGTTAGACACATATTTCATTAAAGGCAGTTCTTTATTTCCACAAATGCGAGTTAGTTCGCACTTTTTGAGCAACACTGCTGGAGTGTTGACAACCCAACCCGTGCGACTTTCAGGTCTTCAGTTCCACAATTCCGAGTTAGTTCGTACTTTCCCCTAGTGCTACGCATCGTCGTTATTGTCTTGTCTACAGAACTGCGAGTTAGTTCGCACTTGTTGAAACCCTTCGCAATTGTCGATAAACCAGGACCTCAGTTCCACAATTCGGAGTCAGTTCGTCTTTTCCCGTTGTACTTCGGCTTGCAATTGTCGTCCTGTCAGCAGAACTGCGAGTTAGTTCTCACTTGTCGATTCGCACTTGTCGATAAACCACATCTTACTCGTTTCGTTCGTCTTCCAGGTCTTCAGTTCCACAATTCCGAGTTAGTTCGCACTTTCCCCTAGTGCAGCGGGTTGCCATTGTTATCTTGTCTACAGAACTGCGAGTTAGTTCGCACTTGTCGACACCCTTTGCACTTGTCGATAAACCACATCTTACTCGTTTCGAGGGCATCTAGTTGGGTCGCAATCTTTCCGAACAGTTATCGTCTTCCCTCCAACCTTCTGTCTTTCCTATCCTTCACCCGATTGTTGTGACTTCGTGTGCATTTCGAACACCCATCTCTTACGTCCTTTTCGTCCTCCATTTCGTTAAGTCCGAGTTAGTTCGCACTTCGCTTCTGTAATGGTCTGGGGTTGGGCGTATTAGTCATCCGAGTTGGTCTGAGGTTGGGCGTGCTAGTCAACGGGTGGGAATACAATGTTGTCTGCAAAGAACACATCCACAAGCGCTGGACCATCTGCCCCCGGGGAGGGACGACTTGCACAGCAACCTACTCCTCAGTATATGCACGCAAAGGGAGCACCATGGTTTTTGGACTTCGTTGAAGAGGTGGAAACTTTCCACTTCGGACGAGGAACAATGGCAACGCGCCAAAACCGTGGCTTATTCTTGGAGAAGATCTTTTCGCAAAGGGACGGATGAGAGCAAATTCGTGACAGGCCTTGCAATACCGACATCCGTTTGCGAGAAAGCGCTTGTGGCCTTGGAGGACGACTGTCTTTCCGGTCCGTCCGACGTGCCCGTTTAGATAAATGCGAACTGATTCGGATTTGGCAGCTACGAACTCCGCTCAGATAATGGCGAGACGTGAACTGCGAACTAATTCCGGTTTCTTGTCCTGCAGGATGCATGACGACGACACACCATCGTGCGATGTTGTATATGAGACAACGTCCTACAAAACATCGTCGTACGTGAGCGAGTATTCCTTTTCGATCGAGAATGTGGACACGGATCTTATCATCATGAACAAATGCATTTGGGCACAACAAACGCTCAGTCTTGACAGCGATTATCTGCATATCGAAGATGGGCTCGGCCTCGACGGTTACATTGCACCTGAAACACGTGTTGTTGATGGACAAACTACAATAGTTCGTGATAGAGGATCAAATATGTGGTACCTCTACTCGAGTTTAGAAGAAGTCCAACTTTTGGAAGTTTCATCCAGTCAGGAGGAGAAGATGGACGTCGAGGATATGGTAGATGACTGGGGGTCGCTGCGCTTCGAACAAGAGTGGGGTTGTATGGACGAGCAGCATGCTAAACTTTGCGCATGGTACTGCATCGGGAAGCCGCAGTTGCGTTTTCCTGTGATCATAGACTACCATGGACGAGTTCGTCTGTTCAACCGTGGCACCCCTGTGCTGACTCTTTTCACGGCGGCCAAGCTTTGTGGTAAGCAAATGAGAGTTTTCTTCCTTGTGAGGGAAGACTTTCGCGAGCCCGCGTCCGTCGGTGCTCTCGAGCGCTTCCGTGAACGATTCGAAATAGATTCTTCGCTCGCAAAAGAGTTGAATCAAAGGGTTGACTGTTTGATGCATGCCCAACTTCACTTCCTTTTCGGATTGTGTGTCGACATATTATTCACGTTCAAACACAAGGACAACTGCAATGACTACACTCTACGAAAAGTTTCGCATCACCGTTCGAGTGTCCAAACATTGGAATTCGTAGGGGGTAGGCGGAGACAGATCTACGACTGTCCTTACTGTGAGGATGGACACCAGTCGCCATGACCTGCTATGTGAGACAACTCCGAGTTAGTTCACACTTTGCTACTGTACTCATAGGACGACCTCGCCGTTCATCGACGCCATCGTTGCAGGACTTGCGCTGATTAAGAGAGTAGTCTGACCGTTCCACCCAGGGTTGTCGAGCCCCGGCCCCGGGGCCCCGGCGGGGTTCCGGGGTTCCGGGGTTGGGCACCCCCAACCCCGGCTTCAGACCCCCCCGCAAAAAAAATAAATAAAATAAAATAAAAAAAAATAAAATAAAATAAAATAAAAATAGTAGGGGGTGCGCAGCGAAAGCGCGCACCACATGGGCTAAACCCCAAAAATGGGGTTTTATGCCC